CCCTCCCGGCCTTGTTTCTCCCAGCTGGGGCTGCCTCCGTATTCCAGCCAGGTCGTCATGGCCGAGCGGCTGCGTTACGCCATTAACAACTGCCGCTCCATCGACATGGACAACTACATGCTCTCTCGCAACGTGGACAACGCTGAGGGCTCCGATACGGACTACTGACGCTTCCTTGAAACACGTCAGGGTTCCACAAATGATGTACAGATTTAGCCGAATGCCTCACAAAACCTGAGATGCATCATCATCACCCGCACCAGTATAGGAACTCCAGCGCAGATGGGCCGCATTTTACATTCATTTATGTCTTTTCAAACAGCACAAATTTCATTTTGTCCTTGTGGCTTAGGAACTATTTTTAACGACACAAAAATCTTCACAAGTGCATTTAGCCTGTGTGTTTTGTTTTTGTTTGTTTTTTCCTTTACTCCACTTCCCATTTTTGGGGCGCTGCATGGAGTTGTTTGTTTGGAAATGTGCATAGGATGTTCAAGGAGGACGTTAGGACAGATATATTGTGTACATTGTGAATAATGCTTCATTTCTTGCTGTCACATCCATATTTATTGTTTTATTGCCTATACCCTGTTTCCTCAAAGCATCCAAACCAACAATAAATGCTGCAGAATGGATTTTTGTAATCTTCCTACTTTAGACAGACGCAGTGTTTTATTCATGTTTCTCAATAGTCATTTCTATTTACAGTGATTTGTTTTTTGTTTTTGATGTGAACAACGAACATATTGGCTTCTATCGTTCAAGGAGGACGTTAGGACAGATATATTGTGTACATTGTGTATAATGCTTCATTTCTTGCTGTCACATCCATATTTATTGTTTTATTGCCTATACCCTGTTTCCTCAAAGCATCCAAACCAACAATAAATGCTGCAGAATGGATTTTTGTAATCTTCCTACTTTAGACAGACGCAGTGTTTTATTCATGTTTCTCAATAGTCATTTCTATTTACAGTGATTTGTTTTTTGTTTTTGATGTGAACAACGAACATATTGGCTTCTATCATGATGGCATCCAAATATTATGCACAAAACCGTCAATCTTTTGCCTTGTAAGTCTGTGAATAGTTTCCGCCAGTGTCTCGTTCGACAAGTGCAAGAATTTCCTTCCAGGACTGTTTCCGGTAGGTGCACTGACATTCACGCTCACAGGTCTTATTTTAAGGGGACTCGAGAGGTTCTCAATAGATTTGGGACTAAGTAGTAAGAAATTCGTCAGTGAAAATTCTTTAAATCGTAAGATTCTAAGTTTTCCTTCCTTGCTCAAAGCATTGGACTCTTCCACACATCCGACTTTCCCCCCTTTATGCATAAAAATTGACTCCTCAGATCATTTTCCTTTATTTTGGCTCACCTGAGATAACTATCTTTTGTTTGTGATTGATGAAGGTGATCAAAATAGCAAATGCAGCATGCCAAAAATTCATTCATCTATTTTCTGTACCGATGACAGTATCCTCACTCGGGTCGCAGGTATAAACTGGAGCCTATCACAGCTGACAGTGAGCAAAAGCCAATCGCACAAAAGACATTCACGCTCACAGGTCTTATTTTAAGGGGACTCGAGAGGTTCTCAATAGATTTGGGACTAAGTAGTAAGAAATTCGTCAGTGAAAATTCTTTAAATCGTAAGATTCTAAGTTTTCCTTCCTTGCTCAAAGCATTGGACTCTTCCACACATCAGAAAAGATCAGAAATGGAAATTATTCACGTTAAACAAAGCGCCATATGTCTTCAGCAAAAGCTTTTCTCTCAAAACACTTGGCCTTTCTTGCTATTTTTACTGTTTGGGGAGGTGGGGGAACCACCTCCACAGCCACTCGTCAAATCTGAAGGCACTTGGACTTAAGAAAGACTTGAATATTCGATTTGGAATTTTTTTTAAATGCTTGTTGTCAAAGTATTGCAAAATATTTCTGCTCATCTGTCAATCCTGCTATGGAAGTCCTTCAATAGTTACAAATTGACTATTTAAAAATAATTGTCAAAGGTGGGGTGACAATATGAAAGCAAAAACCTCAAGATGAAACACAAGATGCAATTAATTCATCTTTCGTACAAGATCGAGACACTTCTGAAATCACACACTGTCGATTTCTGAGTATCCATCAAGCCTGTGGCCGCATTTTTCAATACGAATGTACTTTCGTCCCAAATGGGGCGTAGGCTCCAGCTGCCCCATGACCTTGACTTGAAGAGGTCAAGCACTGAAAAAAGAATTGCGTCCTGAAAACTCCTGATTGCCATTTCGTGGAGCATTATGAGCTGTTATGGAGCTTTTTATTGAATCTTGTACTTAAATACATTTGTGACTTTCTTTCCTGACTTCATATCACAGAGGTCATTCATTCTGAAACGTTTGCATGCATGCGCTGTGGAACTTGACGGAGGCATTCGACATGTACACTGCACACACTTTCCATTTGCAGAACAGAACCGCTTTGATGTGCCTTCTGAAATCAGGGATTTGGCTTATACGGGGCCTGTAGTTGTGCGGTTAAGACTTACGACAAATTAACGAGAGAAATCAGTTGATTGATAAATGAAATCGACTTGCGCCATCTAAAAAAAAAACAAGGTGAGCAACAAAGTGGTCAGGAAATATTGCAATGTGAACAAAAAAGCTTTTTTTTTTTTTTTGCTTCCATTGTTTGGATTCACTTGAGCCATGCGGTGCTTTGTGGTCAGCAGTCGGTCGAGGACGCGACAAGGTTATCCTCCATTGCACACTGCGAGCAAAACTAACCAAGGAAATACCAAAGGTCAATGCGCATTCATTCCCTTTTAAATTCAGGAATAGAGAGCCGCGGATGTTTTCTGCCGTCACGACTGCCTTCGCACTGTCACTGAGTGTGTTTCACTCTAACATTCACTCAGCTGACACTGGGAGAAAAATAATGAAATGTAAGTCAAACAACCGGTGAGAAGTCCACCTGGAGGTGTCTCCCGGGCAACTTTTAAGGTGATTCCAAGTTGAACTTTGACCTTTGTCCCCCTCGAGCCTTATACTCGGAAACATGCTTCCATCAATATCGAATGAAAAGCTTGCATCTCCATCTTTTTTTTTCTTTTTATCTGTAACACCAAGAAAAACATTTTGTTGTTTTTCTGATTCAAGAAACAACATTTGGAGACACGTTGCATTTGCAGTGAACAATTGTTTTTCTTAAGGCCGTGTCAGTATGTTGATGGCTGGATGGCCAACGAGAGGCTGCTGACTGACATCCTAACGCCTTCCCAAGCCACTCAGAATTCAACTATAGAAGCAACTCAACATTCCATTGTGACATTTACAGTATATTATCAATAACTGTGTATATTTCAGAATGACCATTTCAGATTGATCCGCGTTCAAGGCCTGCTTTTATCATCACCGTGTAAACACTGAAAATTATAAAGTAGCTCTTGACGATGACCACACAGAGGTACGGTATTGTAACATATAAAATGTCGTTCAGCACAATGACAACACTAAATGTGAACAAAAGGTGCTGAGTCGCTGACGTGCCAAAACTGTCGCAGTATAGCGCCAACTACTGCTGAGGAGTACTTATTCAATGTTAGATTTCTTTGCCTGTATCAGTGGCTGGTCTCGGCAGCCTCCGCAAGTACCCGATAACTTACAATTAGGCCATCAATGGAAACGGAGGTTTATTTCTATAACCAGCCCTCTTGTGGTCATAAGAGAGAATGCAGGTTTAAGGCACTTCTGCATTGGCTTCATGTTACGTACTGTACTGTGTGATTATGTTCCCTCCTCCCATAATAATAGGGAGGAGGGTTTGACTTGTTGAGATTGACTTGGTTGCTTCTTTAATGAACTCCTACAGCTGTTTTAGGATGTCACATTGCAGCGCATCACGTGTCCGAGTCATGCAAGTATCCATGGCAACCGGCCTTCTCGTCATCTCTTCTGGAAGTGAGGATGCTCTTCTTGGCCTTCAGTAGTCTTTCCAGACACGGCGAGCTGATCTTGAAAGACAGCGGCCCCCGAGGGAGACGACGCTGACGACCTCTGGTGTGGCGTGGGGGCAACGGCGGACAGTCAGTAGTGGAAGAGACAAAGTTGTCCTGGGTGACGACCTGGCTCGGGCTTTGAGGGCCAAGTGTCGACTGGGACTGTTCTAGGGAGCAGACGGGTGAAGTGTGCAGCCGTCTGACATGGTTGGATGAGTCGGAGGTGACCAAGGCCCCGTCTGAAGAGCAAACGGATGCTGGGGACCAGGGAGCACTGCCGTGAGCCTGCTGGACGAACAAACAAAAAGGCTGTCATTCATACATCAGTTGAAAATGAAGGTCACCATTTTCATTTCATAGGAATAAGACGCTTGTACTGTTTATTGAGTGTGATTATTTAGTTGAAGGCAGTGCTGATGCAGCAGCGTCTGTGTCCTGCCTCAAACTTAAGTGGGATTCAAAATAACACTCTGCTGAGATCAACAACTTGCCTCTGACTTACAACTCAGTTCATTTAGGACATACACTTAATAAATATGTGTACCTTTTGCTTCTTCGCAGGTGGGCTGTCATGAGTCTGATTTGGTCCGATGCGAGGGAACCAACTTCGAAGCATCTCCTCTATTTTCATGATGATGCTGAGTCAGTGTCCCCTAGAAAATATAAGATAAGATAAGATAACCTTTATTTGTCCCACACTGGGGAAATTTGCAGTCTACAGCAGCAAAATTGGGGGGGAATAAAAAAAACAGTGTTTCATTGCACAAAAGCACGAAATAAACGTTTCAGAAAGAACTGTACACAGTTCAATAAAAATGCAATATAAAATATAGCATTAGCAATACAGTATATTTGTACTGTAGAATAAATATAATAAATTAGCAATCGAATAGAAAATTATGAATAGAAAACACAGCATAAGGTATATCAAGCATGAGTGATGCTGACACGTTCGTGTTTAGTTTTGATTTTTTTTTTTTGTGTGTGTGTGTGGTAATTTTGAAGCCATAGGCATGTTTGGAAGGTGCTGAAGTAACCCTAAAATAAGTCCAAGCACCCCCAAAATTGTAGTGTTCATATGATTTTATTCACTGTATACATCACAGACGAGCTGAGTGCGCGTGGACGTCATCTTCCAGTCAAGTGGAGTAGTTTGAATGAACAAGGCTACGTGGCAAATTACGTAACTTCTACCAGTCAACATCAACATTAACATTACCAGAGCTAATTGCGGCTGGATTTAACCATGGGCCACCGTTCACGGTGTTAGGGAGGAGTAAGCTGACATTTTTTTTCGAACTAGGAATTGTTCCAGGTAGTCAGATAGCGCTGTCCTTTTTTTAAATGCATTGAGAGACACTTGGCATGCTAATGTGTAAATATTAACCCTTTGAGGGACAGCGGTCACTACAGTGGACAGCTTCTCAATTATCAGGTTACAGCGTAACCTGATAATTGAGAAGCTGCTGCTACTGACTAGCTGATTGACCGGATGACCGATCTAATTCAAACTCCTATCGCGTGTGTGTATGTGTGCGCGTGCACATGATTTTGGAGTGGTCAAATGGGAAATGCCCGAGACCCACCCAAAGGACAAAAGCCCAGCAATCGAATGTGCTCTGGTGACCGTCAGCACCTCTGTATTTGTGATCCTAGAATTCCCCCCCCCCACCCCACCCCCGGTTGTAGCAACAACTCCGAGTGGGAGAAGCTCGGGTGGCTCAGGATGTCTCGCCAATGGCGATTACATAAGCCTCCAAAAGCCTCTGACATCACATTAGGCGCTCTGGCTGGAGCTGATTGGTGGATGTGAAGAAACGCGCAATGACTGACTCAATAAAAAAGGCTGCATGGGGGCGAATGGCATGTGTTCTCGACATCTGCATTCCTCCATGTACGTGTGCATGCGTGATACTGTCACAGTTACATCCCATGGTCACTTGATGGTGACCCATGCAGAAAGACAAGCTGTGCATGTTCTGTTCCACATGAGAAATGTGACTGAGGTGGACTGCCACACACACACACACACACACACACACACACACACACACACACACACACACACACGCAAACACATGCCCCCCAGCGCCCAC